TACCGCGGGCTATTCAAGGAGCTCATAGCACTAGCGGATCCAGGATTTAATTTTTTTTTTGGGGGGGGGGCTTCAGCCCCAAAAATGTTTTTTTCATATACATATAACGATAATTAATTTGAAAAAAAAATAAAGAAATTAACTATCTATTTAAATGGTTTATAAGCGGTTCTTGAAGTCCTATTAAATGTAATTACACTAACAAGGACAATTTAAGAGATAGTTTATAATATTCTTTTTTGTAAAACATGGTTGTATTTTACCATTTTGGGGGGGCTTCAGCCCGAAAGCCTCCCCCCCTCGTAGATCCGCATGTGGCTCATAGTACTCACAATCAGTTTGCTGTGCATTAACGCGTTCTTGTATAATTCTGTAACATTCTGTAAGAACGAAAATAACTATTCCTTGGCATTATTCTTTTAATATATTTTTTTCCGCGAATATAATTTTATCTTAACGCTATAGGAAGTGAAACTGGGAGTTCTCTGCCTCATCCAGGGACAACCAACTGATTGACCAAGACTAAACTAAGAATGGAACCTACGCCATGTATACCTTCCGTCGACAAAGACCCTGAAAGCGTAAAATATTACTATACATTCCCCATTTTAGATAATTCCACGAAGGAAAACCTAAGTAATGCATGATATCAAGTCTGTATATTTTTCGAGTTTAAAACTTGAAAACATTAAGTTGAAGACCACCGATTGGCCTTTAGGTAAATAACTCGTTGAATTTAAAATTTTGGATTTATCGCTTCATCAAAATCCATTTTTAAATAATTACAATATTATTATTATCATGGATTCAACATTATGTTTCTCTACACAAGTAACCAACATCCAACTCAAATTAATTCACAGTGCTCGTCTTAGGGTAAGACAACCGAGGAAATTGCGATGTTCAGGTTCGCTAGTCACTTGTAAGAAATAAAAAAAGAGTTACAAAACGCATTAAAATAATTAACTAACTATATTAGAATGAAATAAAATTCAGACATTACATAATATAAAACAGATTAAAAAATAAATTAAATTTTTAGCGTAGGGAGATGACGTCATTGCCCAGGGGCGCCGAATGTCTAAGGCCGGCACTTTTAATTCGCATAAAATTTATTTATAAATTTTTATTTTGTAACGCTTCCCACTGAAAAATGACCATAGAAGATGTTAAAAATGGTTTTAATAAAGGTTTGCTTATCTTAAGAACTATGAAAAATATTGGACAAGTATAATTTCTTTTATCGGCAAATATTATCTCGCACCAGCGACGTAATAGACCATTCGGGGCCAGGACGGATTTATTTATTTTATTTATGACTGCTTACAAAAAAAAAATAAATATTTTAGAAAAAAACAAAAACAAATTACGGGAACCTTTCGTGAGATCATCTCTGGTGAAGGCATCAACTTTTATTTATATTCACTTTGTATTTTAACTGACCTCAACCAACTTTTCTTCAATTATTCACTACAGTCAACCATCAATCCACTATTGCAAACATGATATGATATATTAAGAAAGTATACTTGCAAAATAGTATTGTAGTTAGTAATTATATATATATATATATATATATATATATATATATATATATATATATATATATATATATATATGGACACATTATCAGAATGGATGAATGTAGAGCTGTGAGGAAATTATATTATGGAACCCCGGATGGAGTAAGACCACGTGGAAGACCGAAGGTGGAAGGACTCCCTGGCTGAAGACTTGATGATGATGGGAGTATCCAGCAGATATGCTGCTGACCGAAATGATTGTGAAAGGGCAGTTGAGAGGGCCAAGGGCAGCTTCAGGCGCCTGTCGAGCCGATAAATAAAATATTAAAAAAATTATATATATATGTATTATTATATATTAGGGGATTAATTCCCTAATTATAACTTATTTTATTATATAACATGGAAGAATGTTTTTTATTTCCTTGAATTTTTTCTCTAGAGTGCCTCATATATTTAATATTCACTAGTCTAATTATTCAACTGATTATTAAAAAGAATAAACATGAAAAAAAAATATTTCAATTTGAAATAAAAGTTTATATATATATATATATATATATATATATATATATATATATATATATATATAAATATATATGAAAAAAAAAATTCAATTTGAAATGTTTTTTTTTCATGTTTATTCTTTTTAATAATCAGTTGAATAATTAGACTAGTGAATATAAATATATGAGGCACTCTAGAGAACAAATTCAAGGAAATAAAAAATATTCTTCCATGTTATATAACAAAATAAGTTATAAAGAATAAGCAGTTTCATAAAATAATGTTATACGGTAAGTACTTTCAAAGATCTTTCATTATTTAAGTGAGCATCACGTACTTATTACTTGATTTATAGTTCGTATGAAAAATAATAAAGGGGAGAGAGGGTTTCCCTCCTCGCTCTTTAATTTGAGACATATAAAGATATTTTTGTATTTCACATTCATACCCTCATTTTTCATATTGTTCAGTCAAGGTGACCATCAGTTGGGTGATAGGTTGTGAAAGCTTTACAAGGTTTCGAAATTATTGATTATTTCGACATTTTACGATAGATAGGACAGAAATGTGCTTAAAGATAATCGAGAAAACCACAAAGAAAAGACATTCTGATAAATTAAAAAAAATTAATGACTACAAATTTTATATAAAATTACTGTATGTAAATTTAATGTGAAAACAGGCGTCGATCTCTAGGGACGTATGTCTCATGCGTTCCTTCCAATATTTTGAATGGACTTGCATTAAAAGTAACTTACACGCTGGTATTAACAAATAATAAGAATAAATAAGCACGTTATTATTATCATTGGCGCGTAGCATTTCTTTGTCTATTATCAGTTTCGATTTACTCACGTTTACACGTTAGGCAAACCATATCGAGCACAAGTGTTTAAAAATCTAGTGTGTTTCTGACTGGCGTGTTTTCCTGCGCAACTCCAGATAGATGAATGTTGACGGCGTTACTTCGGTAGGGCGAGGTGGTTTCAATAAAACCATATAGAAAGCGAGAATATCGTTTCGTGCCCCTTAATAATTTGAAGTAAAAAAAAATAAAGTTAATTATAAATAATCATGATTGAATAAAATATGTAAACTAAAATCGCTTAAGAAAGAAGGAAAAGTATATCAGTTGGATAGGCAAAAGCCTAACTATTTCATCACGACCTCACTATTTTGCATAAGTATCCAGATGTGAAAAAATTGTATTTTTATATTGAACTTGTAATCTAGAAATAAAATTAAATTTTTTCCAATTTTTAGCATTATTCAATTTTAGTTGAAAAAGTTCGATAAATGTATTTGTGCTATAGGAGGCTGTTTCTCTTCCCCTATGTTTAATGTATGTAAATATGTAATATATTTAATTATTTTGTTGATACATTTTTAATTAAATATATCTGTACTATACAAATAAATAAATGAATAAATAATTTTTTTTAAAAACTTACAACTATACAAATGTATTTATACATATATGACCCAATTGAGTCATTTTTTAGACCACAACTAGTATTTATTTTTCAAAATAGTTTCATTGAGACTTTCATAACTATATAAAAAAATAAATAAGTGAACCTTCATATGTTATTTTTTTCTAATGATTATAATTAAAATTATTAAAATAAAATATTATTATTTTACTGTGATACGACAATCAAAAAGATATTTCGCATTACCATTTTCCAGTGTTGACCTTTTATTCTTAAATTATCTTCTCACTATTCTTTGCACATAGATCGACTCAACAAATAAATACGCTTAGTTTTTTTATTATTCTTTATTACTGTACGTTTAGGGGAATCTCTATATAAATAATTATAAGTAAACTTTATAATATATAATAAAGTTGATTTATAACTATTGATCAGACCTATCTAATTCTGAGGCATATTATATGCAAAAAAGGTAGACAGAGATTCCCCGAAACGTACATAAATAAAAAACAATATTGTATTGTATTATTTACAGCACTTCTTCTTCGAATTCATTTTAAGTTTTAATTTTAAAAATACTAATGTCTTAAGAGACATGATATTTTACTCAAGAGATTAAGTAATTATTTAAATATATTAAAAATTGGATTCGCAAACTTTATATTTCTGAAAAAAATAAGTGATTATTTTAATATGTTGAAGGATTAACTGTTTATTTTATTAAATCCATAATTGTTGTCTAGTATGTATAGGTATGTCTGTGTTTTTTTATTTTTTATAATTCACTTATCTTACTTCTAAGTTAATTTATTTTTATTTAATGTATATATATTTTTATATTATTTTTTAGTCGTTATTTTGCTTCTGTTAATTTTATATTTGTATTAATATCTAGTGTGAATGTGGTCTTACCTCACTATTACTATTGTCCAATTGACAGAATGTTATATTAATCAATAAATAAATAAAAAAAAATATTGTCAATCAGACAAATTATTAATGTCTTTGGGACAGATTGTAATATTTTTCAATAAATAAATTCTAAAAAAAATTATTGTCAATATGACAATATTATATTATTCAATATATAAATTAAAAAAAGAATAGAATTAATATAGAAACCTTATTATTGTTTATTTTCTCTGTTTATTCTATTGTTTATTTCTGTTTATTGTTATGAAAACCTTTAATTTTCCTTCTTAATCGAAGGTAGCCACTAGTTATGCCAAAAAGATTTATAAGGAATAATTTCCATATTGAAATTCAGTTTCCTTTAGAGCAATATATATATATAAATATATATATATATATATATATATATATATATATATTATATATATATATATATATATATATATATATATATATATTCACATACATATGTATAAATACATATAAAATATATTATATTATATAAATATATATAAAATATTTGAGATTTGAGAGTCGGGGCTGTGCGTGGGAAGGCTGGGTGGCGAGGGGTAGCAGGGTAGAGGAAGTTGGCGGGAGGGAGTTTAGCTCAGTCGGGTCCGACATGCTCTTCCTGCCAGCGCTCCTCCTATTCCTCCCTACGGCACACGCACAGCGCTCGATCTTCGACTTCTACCGGGAGGTGTTGGATATCCCTTTCGGAGCTACCAGAGACATCAAGTTCTTCGAGAAGGAGTACGACTTCATCGTAATAGGTGCCGGATCTGGCGGCAGTGTCGTAGCCAATAGACTCACAGAGAGGCCCGATTGGTCCGTACTCCTCGTCGAAGCCGGTAAAGAAGAGATTTTGATCACCGATATTCCTCTATTAGTTTCTTACATCCTAAGCACCGAGTACAACTGGGGATATTCTACAGAGCCGCAAAAAGGCGCATGCCTCAGCATGAACTATGGCAAATGCAATTGGCCCAGAGGTAAAGCAATGGGTGGTACCAGTGTTATTAATTATATGATTTATACAAGAGGTTTCAAAGCTGATTATGACTTGTGGAAGTCACTTGGAAATTATGGTTGGGGATACGAAGATGTCCTGCCTTACTTTTTGAAGTTGGAGAATATCAATATACTTGGCCTTAATAGATCTAGATACTACGGAAAAGGTGGTTACATGAATATCGAAAGACCGAAATGGAGGACTCCGTTGGCCAAAGCTTTTCTCGAAACTGGAAGAAATCTCGGTTACCCGGTAGGTGATAGAGATAGCTTAAGCAATGACGGTTTTTCCTATGTCCTAACGACGACAAAAAACGGGGCGAGAATGAGTGCTTCGAAAGCGTTCCTGAGGCCGATAAGAGATAGGAAGAATTTACATGTTTCGAAGAGAACGAAAGCCACCAAAATATTGATAGATAAAAGAACTGGCAGAACTGTTGGAGTAGAAGTTGTGAAAAACAGGAAAAAATACGTTATACGTGTGAGAAAGGAAGTGATCTTGTCCGCTGGGAGTTTAAATTCGCCACAACTCCTTATGTTGTCTGGGATCGGTCCCAGTGAGCATCTTCGGCAACTGGGGATACCAGTTATAAGAGATTTGAAAGTGGGTTACAATCTTCAAGATCACGTATCTATGGCCGGATTGGCCTTCTTCATCAATGATACCATCTCCATTGTCGAAGATAGGTACAGGAATCCTCGTTATATCATCGACTACTGGCTGAATGGCAAGGGACCATATACTCTTCCGGGTGGCGCTGAAGCTCTGGCATTCTACGAGACCAAGTACAATCATAGATCTGGTCACCCAGATATCGAGCTCGTCTTCGGTCCTGGGGCCTTTACAGGTGACATCGGTGGCTCGATTAGAAAAAGTTACAACATGAATGAGAGTTTCTACGAAGCGGTGTACAGGCCCTTCGAAGGGCGAGACGCCTACAACATCGTCCCAGTCCTGCTCCAACCTCGTAGTAGGGGAAGGGTACTACTCCGTTCGAAGGACCCTTTCCATTGGCCATTACTTTATGCCAACTATTACACCGACAAAAGGGACCTTCTTACGATGGTCGAAGGGATAAAACAGGTAAGATTTCTTACTAATATTTCACTTTTCCATTTATTTTATGTTGTCTACAATATCTTTTTAATCGAATACTTTTATGTACCATAAAAATAGTTTACTTATAACAGAATCTTGCAATTCTATTCGGATCAATTATTCATGCAACAGATTAAAAAGTCATAAGCGTTAGTCGCGTAGGGGAGACTAAGTCAACAATGTACTTCAGCCTCCTGATTGTTGAATGGAGCACACTTTTTGGAAAAGTGCCTGTCAACTCGTGGTTTCCCCACTCCAACAGAACCCACAAATATATTTTTGTAATTAAATTCAACAAGCCATGATTATACCAGATCCAAATAAATAATATATGTATAGGGTGCCCCGTAAGTAGAGGGAAATATTCATAAGGTTGATAAAAAACATCAAGATCTACAAAATAGTTTGTATAAACAATTGCCTAATTTCAAGCTGAAAATTAGGAAATTTAAGATGTGTGTTTTTTTTTTAAGTGAGTCACGTTTTTTGTTGAATCGGAAGCGACAACTTTAAAAATATTCATATTTCAAGTAATTAAAAATTGCTCCATAGTAAAACATACAAAATTTACTTTAAAAGAAACTAGAGTTTGTCATTGGCAAAACTATTTTAAGAGGACTTTTGAGGGGCTAAACACAGCTAACTCCCGATTAAAAAGAAGTCGTAAATTATTTGTGATTTTTTTAATCATCCTTCAACTGTACTACGTTTACTCCACTTTTCTAAAAGCTTTCTCGTTTAATAAGCTTTAAGTCCACATTGTAAAAGTTGAGGTTTATTAGGAAAAAAACTGAAATTCACCTAAAGTTGTGTAAAGAAATGGTGTGATTTCCTCTTAACAAAAATTCTAGCAAACATGACTACAATTAACTGTTGCAAAGCATTTATTTCTTCTTTTCCGTGATACGGGATGGATTGCAATAAATATAATTGCCTCAAAACACTTTGTATTTACATAAATAAAAAAAAATTAAAAATAATGATTTTTCAAATATTTTCAGGTGTTTATGATAATATGTTTTTCTCCCAGTTTTCTGTCATAGGAATTTATGTGTATTTATTATTGACAAACTTAATGTTTCTAGCCCTAATATTTACGTTTTCATGAAAATAATTGAAGCAACCAGAAGGTTTCTTCATTTTAAACTTATATTTTAGTAAAAAACATTAAGTATGTACTTACTTACGTTATGTATAGTTACGGGACACCCTGTGTATAGAACTAATATATAACGAAAATATCTGCGTATTTAGCTCTTTTAGAAACTTTGAATTTTATTTTATTTTTTAAAAATCTGTATGTATAGAACAAAAAGTGACATTTACAAAAGTTTGTTTAGTGTAATTGTCACTAAATAGCGCTCTTGTTTAACCTCAAAAGAATGGGTAATAATAATTTAAAAAAACTGTTTCGCTTTTTCATAAAGTATTCGTAATTCAGGGAACTTGGTTAACATGAAATAATTGCGGAACTCGTGTAAGCCAGATTTTCTGAATCTCTTTAATAGCAATGAGTGAAATTTTCATTTCAAGTTCATAATTTCTTGTGAAAATGTCTCCTAAGAAAATATTAAGTTTGAAAGAAAAGTCCGACTTAATAAAAGATGTAATAAGTGGAATGAAAAATATGAAGTTACAACGACATTGTTGATAATGTAAGTTGATTACAAAAACAATGATTTGGTCATTAAAACGTTCGAAAGTTGTGGAAAAGATTGAAAACGTTTGACTCAATCCTCCAAGGTTGAAGAAGCTGTATTGAAATGTCAAGTTCTACTAGATTGCCTTTTATATAAATATCTTACATTATTAATTACAATAACATTTGATTAATTACAATAACAGTTAAATCTTTATTTGAGTCAGATTGTAATTATAGCAATAAGTAACTTTAAATAAAAAAAAAGTTATATGATATGATGCGTCGATTTTTGTTAGTATGAAAGGAATAGAAAAAATGCAATTTTGTATTTATCCCTTTTTTTTCAAGGAAACTCATGACAGCCATTTAGTGTTGGCCAAATGCGAGACCGAGACGAGTCTTGGTCTTGCAAATTCAGTCTTGGCCATGGTCTTGGTCTTGCGCAAGAATCTAGCAGTTACTATAGAGATATTACTGTAATTTTTTAGATAGGAGAAACCTAAATAAGCCCGAATGAAAAATTAGAGGATTTAATTCAAAATATATTGGTTACACCAATTTTTAACATTTAGTAACTAAGATTGTCAAGTATTAGTAACTATTTTGCCTTAAATTTTATTTAAAAAATCGATTTTTTTTTACCAGTCCTGATCTTGGTCTTGCAACAATTAAGTGTCTTTGGTCTTGGTCTTGCGAGTGCAAGTGCAAGACCAAGACCGATTTAGGGCAACACTACAGCCATTCAAGCGCTATGCATTCAAAACAAGTTCCTTGTAGTAGATAGATTGACGTTTTTAGTGAACATGCTATATACAAAACAAATAAAACTATTAAGTCATTACAAAGAGGAAGAAATGCTGAACAATTCCCTGGCATACAGGGAATATTATCTTCAATGAAACTCGTTATCATTTGGTTTTCGACACTATTTTTTTTATTTTCGGCTCCCTAACACGGTCTCGCGTTAAGATTCACTATTGAATAATACCTCATTAAATTTCCCTATCTTACAATATGCAAGTCCGATTTATAGTTTTTGAGATATTTTAATTCATATGGAGAACACTTCAATTAGTCGACTACAGCCGACTTTAACCGAGCGTTAATACATCGGAGATCAGACTGTTCAATATAATTCACTCTCCACAAAAAAAGTGCAAAACTCGCCTAATGAAGTTTAAACTTCAAAAACACTTGAACTATATACAATGGTAAAACATTTTAAATCGCATATTATTTTCACATCCTAGAAAAAAAATTAAATTCTTTCGATAAGCTGTGGGTTAAAACAAAAAAGAAAGCTAAATCTGTCTATATAATATGTCCAAGTACGTAAATGCTAAATAATATGTAAATAATAATATACAAATACAATATGAGGAGAGCAAATAAATCATTTCTTAACGTACCTATCCGTAAGATTTTAAATTGTATATATATAAAAAAAAATGATAGATGAATTGAGTGGCATCGAGAGTAGGAAGCTCTTGTAATATGCCTCTACGAAGTAAATATCTGGCTAAATGTTTCAAGGAGAGGAAGGAAATGTGAAATTACGTCCCACACAATGATAACATGTACAAAATCAAATGGCAAATATCATATGTAAGTTAATCGTGGATCCAAACCTGTCGTTAAGATTGCCTAATTAACAGGATTTCATTTTAACACCACATATAATAGATACAATATTGGAATTTATCCAAATGATTTAGATAACATGGCTCCATCCATAACATGGCTAGAGAGTAAATGAGGGGCACATCTAAGACTTGACTGTCGAATATTTCATCAGCTCCTGAATTGACTAATACAATTAAAATTAGCATTTTAACATTATCACTGAACTCATTCGTATTCCTAATTTTTTTTAAACCTTTTAATATTAAGGTTATTATCATATCATTTTTTTTTTACCTTTTAAGCAATGAATTAAATAATAAAAAAAAAGTTTTTATCAGTATTGCTCAAAAAAGAATTCGGTGGTGAGATTCATCAATTAACTTTCACTTTAGGCACGACCATGATTAAAATTGGGTTTTAAATAAATAAATTAATTTAAAGAATATTGATTTAACAATAAACAAAAGACCATAGCTAGTGTTGCCCAAATGAGAGACCAAGACTAGTCTTGGTCTTGCAAACTCAGTCTTGATCTAGGTCTTGGTCTTGCGCAAGAGTCTCGCAGCAGTTACTTATTAGCTTATTACTAGAGAGATATTAAAGTAATTTTTTAGACAGGAGAAACCTAACTAAGTCTGAATGAAAAATTAGAAGAGTTAAATGCAAAACATATTGGTTGCACTAATTCTTTACATATAGTACCTAAAATTGTCAAGTATTAGTATGTATTTTGCCTCAATTTTTATTCAAAAAATCGATTTTTTTTTACCAGTGTTGGTCTTGCAACAGATAGGCGATGTTGGTCTTGTGCAAGACCAAAACCGATTTTGGGCGACGCTAATCATAGTATTTAAAATACAACGCATTATTATTTATTTTATTTTTTTCTAACTGAGTATAATTTTTTAAGTTTCCATTCAGTTTCTATGGAAATTCCTTTCAGTGCCCACGGAAACATGTAATTTTCAATTAAATAATATAAAATTACATTCACGAAGTTTTAGACGGATGTTAATAGTTCGATAAAATGGGTTCTGCATCGATTACTGTATCTACATACTTATCTACTTACCTATTCTAGCAAATAAAAAACATATTTGTCCTTATTTCTGCCTTAGTTAATTATCAAATTCTTTTATAAGTATCCATTTCTTATAACTTCAAAAAATGGGGGATCATCAATGATTAAAAATATATTTCGGAGAAAGAAATTTTAAAAAATTCGACATTTAAGCTCCATCAGAATATTTCAATGAGGATCAGACCTAGCTGATATTAAAGACCATCAAACTGTGGATTGATGTAATGTGTGTAAATAAAACCGGTTTTAATTAAAATCGGCTGATTACGAGAAAACAGGAACAGTGTAAAATCAATTATATGAAATGACACTTCTGGTAAGTTGATATGTAATTTAAGTTTCATATGACTTTTCGTTTTAAAATAGATTGTTCCCTTACAATCACGCAGAATATATTGTGATACTTGGATATTTGGGCACAGGGGAAGCTTGTTCTAAAGCGGATATTTCCCTGACTACATATTCCATATATGGGATAATGGAAATAATAAAAGTTGGTAGTCAGTCATTAAATTTTTATAATTGAATTATTTCTTATTCAAATTAGGCTTATTGGTTGCAATGGTATGTAAAAACAAAAGAAATAAATAAACTAAAGGTTCAAGTTCTCAATAAATTGAATTTATTTATTTATTTAGTAATATAATATTGTGTCACTTGGGCAATAATTATAGGGAGGTAAGACCACATTCACACAAGAAAAGATAAAATAAACAGAAGAAAAATAACAATTAAATCATGTGTTTATTAGCGATATTTTTATAGCAATATCATCAACGAAACAATCTATCATTGCATTGACCATTTAAGACTTACATTCCTTTTTTTTTATAATTAATATTTCATCAAAGAAAAAGTATTATGAAAAAATATATATATATATATATATATATATATATATATATATATATATATATATATATATATATATATATATATATATAGGGTGTTTCGTAATAGGACGGCACAATTTTAGGTATGTGTTCACTAACACAAAATAAACAAAAAAGTTCATATTAGCATATATCTCAGATTCATTTATTAAACAGATATCAAAGGTTAAAGATTTATTATTTATTTACTATATTAAGACTGACTGTACAAAGTTTGACGTGTTTAATACTAAATAACAGGTTTTAATCACCTGATAAACAAATGAACAATAAATAAGCAATGACAGCAGTTGCGGCAGTTGGCACGCGAGAAGAGCTAAGAAATCGGATCGTGGATGCCGCAGTAACTATGAAGCACCATCCAGATGCTATACGAAGAGCCAGAGAAGCATGGATTCGTCGTGCTGAATGTGCATTCAACAAAACGGAGGTTCCTTTGAACAGTTACCCTAAATGTTGTAATAATAATAAATAGTAATAATATATAATAAATCTTTAACCTTTGATATGTGTTTAATAAATGAGTTTGAGATATATGTTAATATGAACTTTTTTGTTTATTTTATGTTAGTGAACACATACCTAAAATAGTGCCGTCCTATTACGAAACACCCTGTATATATATGTGTGTGTGTGTGAATTTCATATTATTTCAACATCACTTGTTACAGAAGATAGTGATTTAAATTTTATTTCTCACTTTTTCTTCTAAATCTCGGTTCTATAATTCACGTAAAAATGAGTTATTAAAAAAAATAAAGCTATTTTTTTTTTCCTATGCCTCCTCACTTTAGGCTTCCGCCATGAGTCTCCAAGCAGCTTTAGGCTGTTCTCTTAAAGCCAGTGAGCACGTAGCTTACAACCGGACGATATCATAATATCTCTCTGTTGATCAGGTACTCTCCTGATGAATGGTTGCCAACCCTTTACAGAAATCTCCACTCTGTTTGATGTATCTCTTGAGGTCTCGAACCCGCTGTTTCCTTTCTTTGCAGAAGAGGGCACTTCGCTTTGTGTGGAATAACTTCTTTTTAGGCATTTCAGTATATTTTTTATTCTCAGCAGTAAGCGGCACTATTCACGGTCAGATATTTCCTTTTTAAAAAATATCTGAATATTTAACAGTCACACTTATTTCATAACATGGTGTTAACACTTACTACTCAGAAAGGTCACAATGTTTACTATTTGATTTAGCAAAACCTGATTTGGATTTATTCGTATTCGATGTCTGATAACTAGTATTGTTATATGGGTAAAACTATATAACGTACCATAATATATCAAATAAAATAATTTTAACTAATTATAACAACAAACACATGTTCCAGCAAAAATACACTATCTTAAAGGTAAAGGTTTCGGTGTGATCATCTTTCTATTGGATTATTATTATTTTTTTTTTTTTCATTTCTTCAAATTATTGATTCGGATTTTTTATATCAAAACAGTTTTCCTTATCCCAGTAGAGCACATTAAGACATTCACATATACAGAAATTCACCTAAAGTAATTAATGTAATTCTTTTTTTTTACCATATTCATATGATTGCTTTGGTTCGTCTGTATGTACTCCACCAATGGCAGAGATAAGTGATTTTTCTATAGGAGGCTCCAAAGGCCTTAGATTCATTCTGTGGCACATTAGTGGAATATGACTGATCCCGGTGGACGAAATTTGGGAGCCATACTATCTAGCATGCAGGGATCGCGGATATACTCCAAAAGAACGAAAGGGAGTGAAGTCTTCAGGATTTTGCGTCTTAAAAACATTAATATAAAGTAACAGATTTTTCCACAAAAAAAAGGGATACTTCAAGTTTTTTTTTTCAGGGTTGTTAGACTGTAACATTTTATTCTGCGGCAAACTAAGGGCATGTCGCCATTTACAAACCAGACGACGGCAATGACCGTCTATTCGTCTACATGAGACGAAAACAAAAAAGTAAACACAAATAGTCGTAATAGAACTCCTAACAATCCATTAGGACGTTCATTCATAGTCCATCTTCATCTTACATCTCCGGCGCCCACTCGAATCTTAACATGATCTTTATTAACTGGAAGAAAATATTTCTAATTTATTTTAAACTCAAAATTTAATAATAATGAATACCATTTATATTAATACGGGTAAATTTTCCATGAGAACAGGCAGACAAATGTATGAAATACAACGCAAGTTTATAACTTATTTATTTATTGAAATTTTCCACTGTATTACATGAGTACGATGAGTAAATATGAACATGTAAATAATATGGGGCTTTCGGGCTGAAGCTCCTCCTCCCCCAAAATGGTAAAGTATAACCATATTTTACAGAAAATAATATTAAAAACTGTCTCTTAAAGTATTCTTGTCCGTGTAATTACATTTATTAGGACTTCAAGAACCACTTAAACACCATTCCATATAGGTAGTTAATTTCTTTCTTTTTTTTTTCTAAATAATTATGGTTATATGTATGTGAAAAAAAAATCTTTCGGGCTGAAGCCCCCCCCCAAAAAAAAAAATTAAATCCTGGATCCGCTAGTGACATGAACAGATTTGTGGGGACACAACCCAATGGTAGCACTCCCTGACTAGTTGTAAGTAAGAAGGTCACGAGGCAATCTTCTTTTCGGACACCTTAGAGGATTATCGGGAATCCAGGAAGAAGCAAGGTTGGAAAGTTGATTCGTATGGAACTGGAGTTTATCATGTAAGGATAGATAACTGGCTTGGGCCAAATCAGCGACATATGGAGCATTAAAGGATTTTAACGAAGGATTTTGGATTGTAATGATTGGATACAATAGGAATTTGATGGTTTGGTGGAGCCCCGAAGCTCAACTCCGTATGTCCACATAGATCTTATTATACTCATGTAAATGAGCTTTTTATGATTAATTGAAAGATTAGAGCGTTCGTCTAGTTAGTGTTAGAGCAGCTGGAAACGTCGAGCAGTTTCTGTATTGTATGCGGATTTCAAGTTAGACGTTTGTTCTACTTGGTAGAGGAGTTCTTCAACAGGGACAAGTGGAATATTATTGAAGGATACTGTAGAATAAGAAATCATAGGTTTATGATTGTAAAAGTGGAATGAGTATATGAATCGTAACATAATTTGTTCACAAAATTCAGACGAAAGATAGTCACAAAAATATTGGGTGGTTTGTCATGACCTTCCCCCCAACATGTCAAGACAACAAGGTCATATAGACTAAATATTTTTGTAGGTCACCTTTTTTCTCAATTATGTGATCAAATTATTAATTATTCTTGTGGAAAGAAAATGGGTGTTCATGGATTCATGAGGAAAAAAATCATCAATTTCTTAGTACGTCATTAAATTAATTATTATAATGATAAAGCGATCCATTTCTGAGAATTTTCGTAGATAAAAACAGTTGTAGGTTACACGATATGATCACGAAGTTTTAGATGGAAGTTAATAATTTGATAAAAATAAGTTTGTACGGCGGACTATAAATTTTACAATACAATATTTTTTATAAAATTTCTTTTGGGGTTTAAGTGATAAGGTTTTATTTAGATCAAATGATAAACAATGAAATTGTGCTATAAATAAAGAAGTTGCTATTGTATTATAAATAAAGAAATTGGCATATTCCCCGTTTACAGAACTATATGTATATATATATATATATATATATATATATATATATATATATATATATATATATATAATTTATTTGGTAGTTCATACATGTCACAATACAACAAAATTCCAGCAACTTTCTTAATTTCTAATTTAATTTGGTGCTACCTTCACCATCGTAACGTTTTATCTTGGATATTGTAATCCAAGAATCATATAAAAAACAAACATAGTATCTATAAATTATAATATACTAAGCATTGCATTTACATACAAATTTCAGCTGCGCCGATAAAAATATAAAAGAAAGAATATATAAATATATTCATATAGCTACATAAAATATACACTATATATAAAGTAATTTTAAAAACTATGGAAGTAGTTACCCATTCACAATACAAATAATAAGTAAGTAATACAATAATACATAAGTAAATAAAAAATAAATAGAAATAACAAAATAAATAAAATAAAATAAACAAATAGATAAATACTAAAAAAAAAAAAAAACGTAAATTATGGCAATAATAAAATCATTGATTATCGAGCTATAAACGAGGAAGCAGCCTGAACCAATTACTGTTGTTCACGTGGGAACCTTTAAGGACTCTCATTGTAATGGCGTTCATCGTTCTCTTGGGGATGGCCAACATATCCATGTGTTGGAAAGATCGTCGGCACTATATTCCTCTCCAAGTTATTTAATATAATAAATTAGTACTTTATTAGAGAGTAAAATGGCGATGCTGTTCAACTTGAGTTGCTAAAGGACACAGGTTGCTGATCAGACATATTGATAATCAAAAAAATAAAATACTTTCACGGATTCATTATCCCAGATATCCCATGTTAGGATTTTCTTTGTATTCTACTTTTCCTTATTTTATTTTCTTCCATTTTCTGCCTCTCTCTAGAATTCGCAGCCCAATGCCTAGAATTAATATAGTCGGTGTTGCAGAATTCCTTAATAAAAAATTTACACTCCAATAAATTCAATTATATTCTCAAGTTCTATGAATTCCCTCTTATATCCAATAAATACCTTTTTTGTCTTGTCTGACAGTGAACACCATTCAATTAGATGCTTATATAAAACTGCCAATCAGATATCGCGATTTAAATTTTATTTCACAGTTACGCTACCGCTTGGTTTTACTTCCTTAGGTTCGAAAGTTCTTTTATTGGATTAGGGTCCCTACTTAGAGAAGCAACAACCTCCATTACACCAACCCCGATCTCTCCTCAGCCGAAAAACTATTGAATTATTCAAAAGGCTGAGGAAGGATTGCCAGGTTTTAATTCCTTAATATCATTAAATTTACTGTCGAAATTATGGAATATATTTTTCCGTTTGAGAGCTTCTGGTGTTAATCCTCTTTACAGACGTGCTAGTGTTGTGGCCTTAATCACTTGCGCTTCGGACCTCCGACCATAATAGCTGAAAGGGAGTGTTGTCCGGGCCTGTCTCCGTTGAAAGTGAAACGGGGACCCTAGACGTGAAGGCTGTTCCGAGCCGGGCTCGAATCCTCGTTTCGGAACGTTAGTTATTACACGTGGTTCTTTTATTCTTTTCGAAGAAACGTTCTTTCTCCAATCAATTATCGAGTAATGAAATAAGTACGGAAACGAGTAACAGAAAATGAAGAAAGGAGGGTATGATGACTTTGTATTGAATTGCAGGCTGGTGAGCCAACTGACTGAGCACATAAAAACAATAGAATTGGTACACATGTTACATTTTTGTAACTCCATTGATAGTTACAAAATATCTTATAAATATAGCCTATAAATATACTGTAAACTCAATCTAATAATCTGTCGCGTGGACGATAATTATAGTGATATATGAACACATTCACACCATATATACAGAAAATATAAAATTAATAAAAGTAAAATAATAATCAAAAACTATGTACAATAAAACATAAAATAACCTAAAGATAACATAATTAAAAATATATATATATATTTTTATTATTATTTTAATGGAATTTACAACTGTATTACATAGAGAATACAATATGAAAATGTGAAATTGGTAACATGGCATGTACAACATGAAGAGAAACTACCCATTGGTAGAACTCAAATTAATTAAAAATATAAAAACACAGTCATACCTATATACAATTTATACAATCAGGCAGGGAACCCCAAGCCAGTCTTCTCTCTCCAACTATAGAAGGAAAAGCAAGACTCCAAGAGATCCCTGCTCTACTCACTCAAGCACGTCACTGGTGATAAATCCAGCGGAGTTTGAGCGAGAGCGG